ATTTTTTTTTTATATGTATAACCTTGGAAAATTTAAAAAACCTGTTCGAATTTTTTTTTTTTTCGTGGAATAATTTTATTTATACTAATTAATCTTTTAAAAAAAAAATTAATTATCGGGGGGGTAGGGGGTAGGGGTAGGGGGCATCATTAAAATTTATCTAAATAATTGTAATAAAATTCCTGGCATTAAATTACTATAAAAAAAAAAAAAAAATTTTTTGAGGTCGTCTACTACTACTACTAATACTACTACTACTAGTTAGTATCGTATAACAGGAAAATAAAACGTACAAGGGTAAATTTAACGTTTTTTTTTTTTTTTAAACAGAAAAAGACAACAATAAATTTATTTATTAATTTATTTATTTATTTAATTAGTATTAATTATTGTAAACAAAAAAACAGGCTTTCATTATTATTATTATTATTATTTGTAAACAATTTGATTTTTGTTTACGTTTTCAATATTATTCGTTTAAAACAAAAAAAAAAATTTGACCCACTAATATACTAACTAAATACGCCACTGATACGTAATAAAAAAACTTAACTAGAAAGCAATTAACCTGAAAAAATAATAATAATAATAATAATAATAATAATTTTTAATGTGTTTTTTTCCTTATTTTGATTTGGTACCTACTTGGGTACTAATAATAGGTACTAATTCGAATGGAAATTGGATTTAATAAACAAATAAATAAATTTTTATACGTTATTAAATATAAATTAAATTATATTTTATTAATATATATATTATTATCACAAAATATTAATTAATAATAATAATAATAAATTAATTGTAAATTTTGTTTCTTTTATTAAAGAAAAAAAAAAAAAAAAAACATAAAAATTATCGTACCTGTTTACGTTATTAAAAAAAAAATCAAACAGGGGGATTTTTATTAAAAAAAAAAAAAATTTGTTCTGGATAAATAATAATAATAATAATAATAATAAGTTTTTTTATTTAAAAAAAAAAAAAATTAACTAACAATTTTAGCTGGAACTTCGAAACAGAGAACATCTTGATCTTTTTCATTTTTCAATGCCCAATGAACGTTAACATTTATCTTGGGATAAACATCCAATATTTTAAATTGATCCTTATAAAGATATTCATTTCCGGCTTTTAACGGACATGACGTCTTATCACCTGATTTAGCATCGTAAATTTTGTCACAAACATTTTCACCATCGACTCCGATAAACGGAAATGGAACACCAAGTATGAGAGCGTGTACGGAATTTGTCATCTTATTAACATCTTGTTTTGGTGTAAATTTAAGATCGACCGTTGTTGTTGTCTTCTTTTTTAATATGCACGGTGGTTTTTCACAATTCGAAAGTGTAACTCTATTATTTTGTTTTAATGCCGGACCACGAAGACATTCTTCTGCATTACCAAATCCAATAATTAAAAATAAAAAAATCGCGATAACTGATAATACTGATTTTACTTCCATTTTTTTTTTTTTTTGAATTTTAACGTTTACACTCATCGACTGACAGGAATCTACTAGTTTTTTTATTAGCATTTGTAGGAGGTTTTATTATACCATGACCTTCATACTTTTTCTCCCTCCTCGTATACCTTATTTAATAAAAATACGTGTTTAACTTATGAATTAATATTTTATTCTTTTTAAACTTATACTCACCGAGGGAGAAACTTAAAATCTTGATTTCAACTTTTTTAAAAGAAAACCTGCAGACGTCTTTCTTAATTTAAAAAAAAAAAAAAAATTTACAACCGTTTAAAATCCAGGTAAACATTTTTCTCAACGTCAAAATTTTCAATTTTTAAAAACAAATTCTATTGAAATCTCTGACGTATACTTTTTTTTTTTTTTTTTCTAGAAAATAATTTTTATTCTATTCTCTTCACGTTTGTTTTATCACACGGTTAAATTTGCCAACAAACAAACAAACAAACGAATAAATTTTCTTAATGATAAATTTTTTTTTTATTTATTTTCTATTCTCATCAATCATATAAAATTAAAATAAAACTTTTAAAAAATTTTTTTTTTAAAACGAAATTTCGTTAATTTAAATTTTTATATATATATATTTAATTTTAAAAGTGAAAGTTTTAATAATAATAATAATAATAATAATAACATGTCCTTAAATAAAATTTAAAAGTGAAAATTTTTTTTCCCTTAAAAATTCGTTTAAAAAAAAAAAAAAAATTATTTGAACGTAAAAAAAAAAAAAAACAAACACGTACGTAATGTTTTTTTTTATTACCCCCCTCCCTCCACCTCCGTCAAAATAATTATTACCCGTAATAAATGTCCGTTAAAATTACATAAATAATTACTTTAATTTATTTTTAATAATTTTTAATTATTTATTTCCAACGTAAAACTTTTTTTTAAAAAATTTTTTACATTAATTTTTCGATAATAAATTTTTTATTTTGAAATTTTTTATTTATTTATTTATTACGTAATTAATTTTATTTACGTAATAATAATAATAATAATTTTTTTTTAAAATAATACATTAACATTTTACTTGTTGTTGTTGTTGTTTTTAAAAGGGGCAAAATTTTTGTGTTTTGTAATTATTATTATTTTTTTTTCCTCAATTTTTTTGTTTTTAAACAAAATATAAATATTTTTTATATTTTGTTATTAACAAAAAAATAAAATTATTTATAAATAAATGATTTTTTTTTGCAAGAGAAAAAAATTTAAACAAAATTTAAACAAATTAATTTTTTTTAGGAATTTTAATTAATTTTTTAAATATTGTTTTCGTTTTAAAAATAAATATAATTAAAATGAATTTGTGTGATGACGTAAAAGAATAGACATTAAATAATAATAATAATAATAATAATAATAATAATAATAATAATAATAAATGAATTTTCTGAGATCAAATTTCATGGTTCATTATATACATAATTCAAAGCACAACATGGCAAAAAATAAAAAATAAAAAAATTGTTATTTACGACAACAACCATTTTGTCACTGTAATATATCATTTTGAACTTTAAAAAAAAAAAAAAACTTATTTTTAAGGATAACATTTTTTTTCTTCTTCTTCTTTTTAAGGTTTTTTTTTTTTTTTTTTAAAGTACTCATGGTCAGAATTTTTTTACCTGAATTTTTACCTGACGGTAATCTGGTACTTTCCTGAGTAAACCTTTTTAAAAAAATTTTTTTTTCATATAACGAACGACATGAAATCACATTTAAAAAAAAAAAAAAAATAAGGAAATTTTTCATCATTTAAAAAAAATTATTTTATTTAATTAAAATAACGATCGGCTTTTAAAAACAAAAAATAAAAATTACGTAATTGTTAAAAAAAAAAAAAAATTTTATAAATAATTGTAAATTATAATGACATTACAAAACATATAATAACCATAATAATTTGCGTCAGTCAGCCAGTCGTTAATTCATCAAATTGTTTATTTCATTTCTTTTTTTTTTTTGTTTTTATTGCAATTTTATTTTCTTGTTCTTTCTTTATTATAGTAATTAATAAATTTTGATTCGTACAAATTAAAATATATAATTAAAACGTAAAATTCTTACAATAAATTAAAAAAAAACAATTGCGCGTAAAAATGTCGTTAAGCATTCGTTGAATTTAATTTTAAAAATACAATAATAATAATAATAAGTAAATTTAATAAGATATTTTTATATATTAACGTTTTATAATCATTTAGAATGAATTTATAACTGTATGTATGACCTAACTCCTTTTTAAATTGTCTTTTTTTTCCCCAAAAATGACTAAAATTACGATTTCGCAAATTTATTTTGAAAATTTTGAAAATTCGTTAAAAAGGTTTTATTTACTCTGTGGAAATATTTTATTCTATAACCGTTCAAAAATTAGCGATGGTAATGACGTGGCTCTAACTATTAGTTATAAAATTTTTATTGTTGTTAATTTTTTTTATTTTTCTAATTAAAAATAATAGTGAGATTTAAACTTTAGTTTATGTTTAAACAATTAAAATAATTATATTTAAAAAAAAAACCTTCGAGATCTGATAAATGTTTCTAATTAACGTAAATACTTGAATTTTTTTTTTTGTATTCTTCTTATGGTAAAGTTCATTTTTTTTTTATAAGGAAACTTAGGTAAAATTAAAAAATGTTCTAGACTTTGTTACAATAGTTAATTGAATATAAAATTTATAAAATTTAAAATCAAAATCATTAAGGATTCTTATCTAAAAAAAAATTCTTACGTCAAATTGTTTAGTTTTTTTTTTTTTTTCCCGCAACAATGGAAAATGATTGCATGAATTGCAGTTAACGACATTTTCATTCATTTAAGTTTTTTTTTTTTACAAACTAATTACCCGGTAAAAAAAAAAAAATCTTTTCTGATAATAAAGCATTAAAAAAATTTTTTTATTCAAAAGTAAATTCATGAAATCGTAAACGACAAAGAATTAATCAGAATGTTTTTATTCATTGAAAGTAATATATTTAATATTTTGAAGGAGTTTTAGGTAAAAAAAAAAATTTTGTCGACTAATACTAATTGGTACCAACTTATTAAAAAATTTATTTATTTCGAAAATAATTTTTTTAACAATATTTAAAAATGTTAGTTTTTATTAATGATTATGTTTGAAATCATTAGAATTAAAGTATTGAGTGATTAAAAAATTATAAATAATTAATTATTTAGATTTTAAATAAAATTTTTCTATAAGATTTTTAATATCGGAGTACGTTCAGAAATGCTTTATTCATAATGCAATGTATTTGATATTAAGTATATTAGTACAATCATCAGTATTTTAAGTTTTCGATTTTAACGGAAAAATTAGAAGAAAAGGTCTTCCTAATAAAATATCCATTTATTTTAATTTTTAAACTGACTATGGAATGGATACTATCAAAGCATCAGGGGTAAATTTCAAGTTTCTTAGTAGATTTTGTATAATTCTGTGACTATTATTTATTTTATATTCATTATATTACAAAAATTTTTTTAGAATGTCAGCTCATCGAGCGGGTTACATAGAACTGATTCTTTTCGAAAAGTACTCCCCTCAAAACCAAGTGCTTCGGTAGATTCTCGTTTATCAATGTCAATGAAAATGATTGAGAGACCTGTTGCTTATGAAGGAAATAATAGAGGAAACAAAATGTTTCTACCATATTTCTTGGAATATGCAATTATGGCAGAATAGTAAGAATGTGAATTCATTTTAAGTTTAAAATTTATATCAAGTATTTATCACATATGAATTTAATTATTTTTAGCCGAATGCTTCAGAAAATAGAGTTGACTGGAATATATGTTATTCCTTCTGATGCTGATCCACTTGGCATGTATTCCTACTTAAGAACTTTTAACAAAAAGTTAAAACAAAAGCACTTTTTAACATTGTAATTACTTTTTTTTTTTTCAGTATGGTTTGGAGTTATATTTGTTAGACAAGGTTTATACGAAGGAGGAATATTTCGTTTTCAGGTTCATTTTCCTGAAGATTTTCCGGATGGGTCATGTCCAGTATGTAAAAAAAATTTTAGAATTAAAAAGTTTTTTCTTTATGTAACTAAAATAATTTAAAAATCATTTTAGAAAGTTGTTTTCGAAAGTGATGTGTTTCATCCTGCTGTAAATATTGAAACAGGAGAATTAAATGTATCTGAAGAATTTAAAGAGTGGAAGAGAACTGTAAATCATACTTGGCAAGTTTTACAATACATTGGAAGGATATTTTACAGAGTCGATACAAAATCTCCTGCAAATAATGTTGCATCCGAATTGTTAGTATAAATAATTTCATGTCGAACCAAATATTAATTGACATACATGTATATATATTTATTTTAAAATTACTTTTATTTATAAAGGATTGTATAAATTTTTTTTTCAGATTTGTTAAAGACAATGAGAAATTTAAAAAATTGGTGAAATTATGTGTTGAAGAAAGTCAAACAAAAATTAATGAAAAGCCTACAAATGAAGACCCAAATTATTTACACTTTGAGCCCTATAGCGAATCTTTATGTGAATCCGTTAAAAAACAAATGAAAGAATTTTCTAAAGAGGAATTGTAATCTTCTTACAAATAATTTCTTATTTATATGTGTGTACATTTGTTTATTTAAAAAAAAAAATTCTAATTTATGTAAACAACTTATTCTTTCAATCTCATTTAAATCTTTTTCGTTTTTAATGAATTTCAAATATTGATATGCAAGTAGTTCATTTGGTATGTTTAAACGGAAAAATCATTTTGCAACTTCATTATTTGAAATAGATTAGGTTTGTTTATCATTAAAAATACTTTTTAGTTATTTTACAAATTATTTTTTTTTTATAAAAAGCTCAAGGAATATGTATTTAATACATATACATAAATAAGTAATTTGTTTTTATAAATATTTCTTTATTATTGTTAATAAAAAGTTTTTATTGATTTAATTAATCAATATTAATTATAAATAAGCTTCATAACTTTATTTTATTGTTTTAAATAAAAATTAACAATTTAACTAATAGTGAATTTTAGTTTTAGGCAGGAGGTGCATGATAAACTAAAACTATTAAAGATAAATAAATTCAGATGGATGATGTAGCAAATATGATTTTTTTTTGTCAAGATGACTCAGATAAAATTACAGTAAAATGAAAAATATTTTTTTAATTGTGAAACAAGAAAACTGAAGACTTAGATTTTTTTTTTTTTTTTAATGGTATTATTTGTATTATGATTGGCCTTGTTTCATTATCCAAAAAAACCAGCTTCAATAAACCTTAAATAAACTTTTATCATCTAATCTAAATCCTGTGTTACTCATGCACTCAGGTAGATTAAAACCGAGTCTAACAAATACAGGAAAAAAAAGGGAAAATAATTTTTTTTTTTTTAAAAACTGCAAGGTCAATTTATTTTTTTGTAAAATTAGCTTAGAATTAAGCTAAAAAAAATTATTTGTGAATGTCATTAAACAAAAAAAATTGTAATTTTTTTTAAAATTTAAATTGTAATTTTCAGCAAACTAAAAAATCATTTAGTTGTGTAATTATTTAGAACTAGAAAAATTTACTTTATAATATATATATATTTTTTTTAGGTACATACTTATAAATATTTTTTACATCACTTTCTCCAATGAAAATGATGTAAAAAATGATTTCCAAAAAAAAGTCTACATTTAAAATTCTAGTTATAAGTAATTAGTTTTTTTTTTTTTAAATTATTGTTTTTAAAAACGTCGCATTTTATTTTGTTATTATTATTATTATCATCGCTACTACCAAATTTCATTATCTTAATCTGATGTGATAAATGGTTTTGTCTAAATCTTTTATCAAGATTTATATTTTTTAGATGATCGGAATAAGTTTTTGCAAAAGTTTCTTTTTTTTTTTTGTACATTCAATTGCGTTTTAATGACGATTTAAATGTTTAATTTTATTTATTTTTTTTTGTTAATTAAATAAATATAAACTAACTGAAATTAATTTTTTTCGGTTCAATTTTTTTTTTTTTTAATTATGTAAGTACATAACAAATTGTAATTTTTTTTTTACAAGATTTATATTATGATACATTATTTTACGAATTAATATAATTTATTAATTTAAAAAGGAGAAAAATTATATTAAAGCGTAAATTGCGTAATATTAATTTTAATGAATTTTTAAAATTTATTTAATTTTATAATTTGTCTAAAGGTTTTTTTCAGAATCAGTTATTACAAAGGAATCAAATTTGTACGAAGAAGATATTGAAGATGAGGAATCAACCGATGAAGATGAAGGCTCACAGTCAACAGATGAAGAGTAATTGAATTTTTACAAATTTTAATAAGTAAATTTTTTTCAGGATTTTAAAATATTTTTTAATTTTCAGGGAAGCAAAAGTACTACCGAATTGGGATAAATTTCAAGATGTTCATCAAGAAAGTGTTAGCATATCGATGGCAGATACATCAATCATCGATGCATCCTTTCAAATCATTAAAATATTTGCGTATATTATAACATTCAGTTTGGTTCTCGGTGGAGCAGTTCTTGCCAAGTCTATTGTTTTGTTGATGACATCCCAACTCACTCCCAATAGGATGGTGTCGGTACAAATGGGAAGTTTACTTTTAGGATTGAAATTGCCACTGGAAGAAAAGTATTTATGGATTTGGGCAATATTTGTTTCGCTGTTGATACCCGAAATAGGCACATTTTTTAGATCCGTAAGAATAGCTATTTTTAAAGGATATGTCGATGTTGACGAACCTTTAGAAAATGATGAAATTAAAAGGGAGCCTATTTCTGTAAAATATATTATCATTGTTACAACCGTAATGGAAACATTACACGCTTTTGGTTTGGCATTATTTGTTTTCGGAGTACTTCCTTACATAGATGTTGCAAAAGGAGTCATGTTGACTAATTGTGTGTGTGTGGTCCCGGGATTTTTAAGTAAATATAAATTATAATAATACAATTTTCTTTAATTTAAGATTTTTTTTCAATAGTTTAGTTTTACACACCAAATTTGTTGCAGGTCTTATACCAAGTAATGCCATCCTTCATCCAAAAAAATTTAAACTTATTGGAAATGTATTCGCTCTTATTTTTCAAGTCAGCGGTTTAATTACTTGGCCTTTGGTTTTTGGTGGTAGCAGTCAATTATGGCTCATTCCGATTTCTTTGTTATTAATGTCTTGCAGTTGGTGGATGAATTTTGTTTCTGAGGAATCTCCTTTAGGTAAAATTGATTAAAAATTATATTAAAATGTTAATGGTTTTTCAACGTGTTCAGTTTGTTTTAGGATTCATAAGATTTTTAGCACAAATCAAAGAAATACTTCAAGAGAAAAAAGTTTTTTTGTACAAGATTTATATAGGAATATCAATATGGAAATATTTAATATTTTTTATATCAAGTCTTTTTGTTTTACATTTTAACGATTATGATATTATGGATTTTTTTCAAAAAACTTCAGAAGCATTTAGTGAAAGAACAATGATGGCCTACGAGGTATAGTAAAATTATTATTTAAAAAAAAAAAAAAGGAATCAAAATTAAAATGTTTTTTGTTTAAGGTAGAAATTTCGAGTCAAGTTTTAACGGGTAGCAAATATCCGGTTCCATCGATCGGAAATAAAATTTGGTGGATTGTAGGAGCGCAAGTCATTTCTGCTTACATCTGCTATGTCTTCGGTACGACATTTATTTAAAAAAAATAACAAAAAAATAAAAATAAAAAAAAGTTTGCGAACTACTTAATGACCCTCTTATTAGGTTAAGTATTTAAATAAGTTAAACAGGCGAGAATATATGAGAGTAAATTTTTATTGTTAAAAATTTTAATGGTTAAATATGTAAAAAAAATAATTTTTAATCAGGAAAATTTGCCTGCCGAGTTATGATTCAACCGTTTAGTTTTGCTTTACCTTGTGCCCTTGTTGTACCTGCGACTGTGATCCTGATAGTTGTCTCAACAGAATTTAAAAATGAAAATTCTTCCGTTTTCTCAAGTTTTCTACCAAATTATATTTTTTTCAATTCTCCACAAATTTACAATGCAAAAAAATTTTTCTTTAATGAGGTATTAGATAATTTTTTTTTTTTTTTTTAAAGTAAAAATATTTTGAATAAAATTTTTTAAAAAAATTAATTTGTTAATTACATGTTTTATAATTTTAGTTTGCTATTCTTTGGATTTTTTGGGTCATGTCTCAAATATGGATTACATTTCATATTTGGATGCCACGATGTGAACGTTTATCAAAGACTGAAAAACTTTTTGCAATTCCAATGTATTCAGCTTTTCTTGTAGATCAATCAATAGCTCTGAATAGAAGAAGAGATGAAGTAAGAAATAATTATTTATTATAATAATTCATTGAAATTATAATTTTTTTTGTCTTTAAATAAAATTTATTTAATAAATATTTTAAAGTTTGAAGCGGTTGGTAAAAAGGAAGTAATGCCTCCACATATAATAGCTTGTGCTACTATGTGGCACGAAACGCGAACGGAAATGTTAGAAATGTTAAAATCTCTTTTAAGAATGGATAATGATCAATGTTTGAAAATGAGCGCTAAAAATACAATTATCGATGATCCGGAAGCGGAAGCAAATTTTTACACTTACGAGGGTAAATGTTTTAAACTTTAAAAAAAGTTTTTTGCAGTTTAAAAAAAAAAAATTTAATTTTTAGCCCACGTTTTTTTTGACGATGCTTTCGAAATTGAAAACGAAGAAAGTGCTAGAACCGTCGTTAACGGATTTGTAAAAGACTTTTTAAAAATTGTTAAAAAAGCAACTAAAAATGTTTACGGGACCGATGATATTTGGATCAAACCCCCACTAAAATATTCCACACCTTATGGAGGTAGATTAGAATACACAATGCCGGGAGATAATAAACTTTATGTTCACTTGAAAGATAAAGATAAAATTCGTCATAAAAAACGATGGAGTCAAGTATGAAATTATATAAAACTTTTTTTATATTAAAAATTCCAATTTAAAGATTGACAGTATTTCAAATAATTATTTAATTTATTTCAGGTCATGTACATGTATTATCTTTTGGGTTACAAATTAATGGAATTGCCTATACCATATGAAAAAAAAATGGAAAAAGCAGAAAACACATTTTTATTGGCATTAGATGGTGATATTGATTTTAAACCCGATGCTGTTTTACTTTTAGTAGATTTGATGAAAAAAAATAAAGGCTTGGGAGCTGCTTGTGGAAGAATTCATCCCGTGGGTTCAGGTACGTTAAATACGTAATGCTTACAATAAATCCTCTTTTTATTTTCTAAATAAATTTTTTGTGTTAAGGTTTTATGGTTTGGTATCAAATGTTTGAATATGCCATCGGACATTGGCTTCAAAAAGCTACGGAACACATGATTGGTTGCGTTTTGTGCAGTCCCGGTTGCTTTTCACTTTTTCGTGGTAAAGCATTAATGAGTTCTAATGTTATTAAAAGGTACACGACGAAAGCCGAAGAAGCAAGACATTACGTTCAGTACGATCAAGGTTTGTTTTTAGATTGACATACGACGTTCTTTTGCAAATATTGTTAACATTATATCACAATATTTAAAATATTTTTTTTTTAGGGGAAGATCGCTGGCTCTGCACTCTTCTTCTTCAAAGAGGTTATCGTGTGGAATATTCTGCAGCCAGCGATGCTTACACACATTGTCCGGAATCTTTTAATGAATTCTACACTCAAAGAAGACGTTGGATTCCTTCAACTTTAGCTAATCTATTAGATTTACTCAACAGTTATAAGCGCACCATTCAAATTAACAATGATATTTCACTCCCTTACATTGCATATCAGGTTGGCTAGTAAAACATTTTTTTCATTACCTCAAATTAATATTTTTTTCAAATAAAATTTTGCTTTAAACAATCTTTTTTTTTTTTTTTAGATGTTATTACTTGTCGGTACCGTTCTCGGACCAGGCACGATTTTACTCATGCTTGTCGGAGCTTTTAATACAGCATTTAAAATTGACAACTGGACGGCTCTGTATTACAATTTAATACCTATTTTCGTTTTCATACTTTGTTGTTTATTCACATCGGGAAAATTTCAATTAATAACTGCTTTGGTCATAAGTTTGGGGTACGGTCTTATCATGATGGCTGTTTTAGTTGGAGTTATTATGGAAATCAAAGACGACGGTTTTCTATCACCTTCTTCATTATTTTTATTCACGACAGTTGCTGAAATTGCAATAGCTGGCATAATGCATCCTCAAGAAATATTATGCTTATTGAGTGGAGTTATTTATTATGTCACCATACCCAGCATGTATTTGCTTCTGATCATTTATTCTGTGTGTAATTTAAACGTGGTTTCATGGGGAACCAGAGAAGTAGCAAAAAAGAAAACCAAAACTGTGCGTGTCTTTAGTAAATAAAATTAAATTGAAAATTTTTTTTTTTTTAATTTTTTAAATTTCATTTTTACATATTATCTTTTAATAACAGGATTTAGAGAATGAAAAAAGAGAAACAGAATTAGCAGAAAAAAAAGCTCAAAAAATTAAACTTTTCGGTTTGCTCGATAGTTTTCAAAGTAGACAAGAAAAAGAAGTGTCGGGAGCTTTGGAATTTTCTTTATCAAATGTATTTAAATGCATGTGTTGCACGAATGAAAAGCCCAATTCGACAACCGATCAATATATTAAAATTGGTGAAACTTTGAATGGTTTAAAGAAAAAAATCGATGATATAGAAAGGTAAAATTAAAAAAAAAAAAATAAAAATTTTAAAACTCACATGAATAAATAAACATGTATAACTCGTTACAGGAGCGTTCAAATACAGCAAAATTTAGAATCAAATCAATTTAATCAATCCATGTCATCGACGGTTAATGAAACAGGATGGTTAAATTTAGATACAAACAACGAAGAATATTTAGATAAAAATATTTTGGTTAAAGGTAAATATTATTTTCTTCATTAAAAATTTTTAAAATTTCTAAAATTTTTTTTTTTTAATCCAATTTATTTTCCTTTTTTTTTCTGTAAAAAGGATCCGAAGGTGTTGACGAAGAAGAATTGAGAGATGATTTATTTAATCCTTATTGGATAGAAGACAAAGATCTTAGAAAATCAAAATTTGAAGTTTTAAGTTCGCAAGAAATAACATTTTGGAGTCAATTAATTAAAAATTATTTAAAACCTTTGGTTGAAGACAAAGAAAAACAGGTATTTCATAATACCTGTCAAAGGTATATACAAAAAAAAATATATATGTATTTTTATAATACGATGTATGACGTAATTCACTGAATTTATTATTATTATTATTATTATTTTAAATTTAAAACAATTTAAAATAATTGAGTTTCTTTGTTTTACAATTTTAATTGTCGGTCTTTGGCAAAAAAAAAAATAAAAAAATTTTTTTAATTAATCTATTTTCACACCAATCCAATTTTTTTTGTTTCCGAGCAAATAATGGCGATTGATGAATCAACCTAATTATTATTATTATTATTAATAAATTAATGTGAATTATTGTAGGCTGAATTGAAAAAAAATTTACGCGAACTCCGAGACAAAGTTGTGGTTACCTTTTTCATGTTGAATGCTCTCTATGTAGTCGTTGTTTTTCTCCTTCAAGTAAATAAAGATCAAATTCATATAAAATGGCCACTCGAAGCAAAAGCAAACATCACATTTAATCCTGTCACTTACGAAGTGAGCGAGTTTTATAATACGAAATTCTCGATAATTTATCGTAGTTGAAGTTTTACAATCAATAATAATAATAATTATTTTTGTTTTTTTTTTAAAGATCACGATAACGAAAACTTATCTTAAATTGGAACCTGTCGGATTAATATTCATATCATTTTTTGCATCACTTTTGGTTATACAATTTGGTGCAATGCTTCTTCACAGATTCGAAACCATGTGTCATTTGCTTTCGAACACTCCTCTAACTATACTAAAAAAGAAAAAAGTATGTTTTTTTTTTTTTTTTCGATTTTCCCCCTTTTCTTAATAAAAATTCAATGTAAATTTTTTTTTTTTTTAATTTAATTTTTCTCCTCCTACACCTTTTGTTAGGCTATGACCTTTAGAGAAAAATTAGAACATGCAAGAAAACAATTCAACAAGCAAAATGTTAAAACGAGCACAGAAATGAAAAACGAACACGATGAAACTTTATTGACGTCACAGGAAAATCCTGCAATTGAAAAAAGAAAATCTCGAGCAATTCAACCGGATAAATTGTTTAATAGTATATTTCAACAAATGAAGGCAGAGGAAGGTAACCGAAAAAAAAAAAAAAAAAAAAAACTTATGAAATTCAATAATTAAATATCAATTTAATTAATTAATTTTTTTTTTGTTTTACGGTAGAAAGAGAAACGGCTGAAAGAGAAGAAAGAAGAAAATCAAGCGTTTTCCCATGGAAAAGAAACAGCGTTATGGAAAACAGAATTCCAAAAAGAATGACGGTTGTAAGAATCCTTGTTTCCTAAATTTTTTTATCGAGGGGTAGAAGACAAGGGCGTGTGAAATTTAATAAGAAATTTTTTTTTTTTAAATTTTTTTTTAGGTCAATTCTTTAAATTTAGGTAAAATAAATGAAGAGCTCTAACATGAGTAGGAAGGAATAAAATTAAATTTATTTTTTACTCAACCGAACACCATTGTTTTAATCGATTTATGCCAGCGATGAATTAATTTCAATATAAATGTTAATTAATTTATATTTGAAAAAAAAAAAAAAAAAATTAGAGGTAGAATTATAAATATTCTTTTTAATGCACTTACCATTTATTTAATCTCCCGCGTACAATTGAAGGTACGGTTGAGGATCGGAAATTTTAATTAAATTATCCGGAGATATCGATTCTGAACACATCGGACAGGATTCTTCTGATTTTATTAATGCAGAGAATTCGGTGAGAATAGCAGGAAAATCACAATTGGGACACACGGTCAAATCGTCTTTGACTATATGACGTCCCGTGGCTATACAAAAAGGCAAAAAACTTTTACATTGTTCGCAATTGAGATCATATTGTGGCATGAGTGAATTACATATCGGGCACGGAGCCTGAGGCTCTTTTTCTTCAATAAAACCCATTTTTTGTCCTTTTGCAGGTTTTCTCACGATGGCTTCAATTTTTTTACAATATTTCGGATCGATTCGAGACCTGTACTCGGATCTCATTAAAATAGCTGCGTAATTAAATGCCGAAGTTTTCAATCCGGCACGACTGCACTCGATAACCGTCGATGTCAAAATGGGAACTATGTGGGACGGAAATTTAGAAATACTGTTTGCAACGCGAATGAGTAATCTCGCTCCATTCATGTGATTGTTTTGCTTTACGTGGAGTCGCACGAGGATGTAAGAGTGAAGAAGCATCAGGTTTGAATACATTTCTTGAGGTATTTTGATATTGTTTTTGCTAAGTTCTAAGTACATTGTATATAACATATCGTGCGCCACTCTATAACTTCCGTTAATCTGCTCTTCATTGGCAATAATTACGGCTGTTTTTGCTGCCTCCCTGTAACGCTTACGTGCCATGTACAATTTAAACAAGTATCTTGCATCTTTAGGCATACCATCGGTATCTCCTAACAAATAACTGAGAAGCTGTTTGGTTAAAGAATCATCGTTAGCTACTCCGACGAGTTCAATAGCCATATTAATGGCTTCGCTTTCTTCTGCATTGTTTTTTACAACTTTCATTAAATGCCTTAGGGCTTTCCCATATTCTTTGGCATAATAATAATATTTTCCTGCCAAAAATGAATTTCTTTCGCTTTCAAAGTGAACGGCCAGACTTCGAAAATCCGAAGGCCTATCGTAACCTTTAAGGATTTCGCCATATAATTCCATTTGACTTCGATTTCGCGCCAATTGAAAAGCTTCATCAAAACATTCGCTTTTAACTAGAAATTTAATAGCCGATGCAAAATCATTAATTTTTTCAAAAAAGGCTGCAACAAGTTTAGCACCTTCAAGTGAATTAGTTTCTTGTACAATCGCTACGGCCTCTTGAGGATTGTTCAAATGATTTAAATAAATTCTTATCAAACTATCGTATTCTTTGGCTAATCGATAAGCTTTTACGGCTTCCATGTAATTTCCATCGGCTTCTTTTGCCTTAGCATACTGTAAATGTATTCTATGAGATGTTATGTTGGGAAACAATTCTCCAACTTTGGACCAATTTTTTAATCTGATGTACATGGCAGCTGCTTTGTCCCAATTCTCCGCCTTTTCATACAATAAAGCAGCCTCCGAAAATGCCTTTTTATTTTCCAAAATTTCCGCGCACTCTGTTTTTAATTGTACACTTTTATCTTGTAACGCTATTTGAACACCTCTTTGTACATCACCCACGCGAATACTATTTCTAGCAACTCCCGCGAGACAAGAGTCTTTATGTGATTTTTTTTCTAGTTCAGAAGGAGCAAGACCCGATTTATCGTTAACCAAACCACTTAAACCTTTTTCAAAATGATTAAGCGCTTCACTGTAACTACCCATAAATTCTAACTGGGAAGCATATTCTCTCGAAATAAAAGGAATTTGAAGAGGTGCCAGTTTTTTTGCCAAATGCAAAGCACGATCCCATTGTAATAAATCTCTGCGCATATTTAAGGCCGATTCGGGTTCGCTTGATTTCAAATACCATTCTTCGGCTTTATCAAAATGGCCTAAAAACATTGAAATGTGACCGCAAAGGGCGTTCTTATCCTCACATTCTAGAATATTTTGCAATGACCAAACCATTCCAACGTCCATTAGACATTTATAAGCTCTTATAGCCCATTCCAATTCCAGGTTAACTAATGCGGATTCTCCAAATTGTTTCCAACAGTCGTTGTCATTGAGAAGATCGCAAAGTCTCCAAGCATCCTCGTATTGCAAAAGAGCTAGCTGTTTTTTAAGAGTTTTGAGCAAATCTTTATTACTATCACTAGTATTTATAACAGGCACGTGACTAGTACTAAGCATCATTTGAACTAATTTACCACTGGGAGTTTCCAAATGTAATTCGCTGTTGTGAAGCATCAAAGGTACTTGTTTGTACGGAAGTTTTGTAGTTCCAACTTTAGTTATGCTAGTCCCATATATGGAATCTTTATTATAATAATAAGAAAACAAGGTTGTGTTGTCGAACATTATAAATGTATTTCGATCATTTACTTCCCAAATAACGCCAACTAGAGGACTAGGACAATCACTAATTAATAAATATTCATCTATAATAGGATTGTACAAATAAGAATTTGTTTTTTCATCTAAAAAAATTAAACGAGTTCCAGACGGATCACTATATAAATCCTTGATGCCCGAGTCATGCCTAAATTCTGTTGCAAATTTCCAATCGTCTAATGAAAAGTATCTTATGTGTCCAAGATTGGTGGCAAATATTAAAAAGTTAGTCGTTAATTGGTGTGAGGAAATTTTCATTTGTTCTCGAATATCATTTTCCGGAAACAGTTTATTTTCTTTTTCATCTGAGTCATCATTAGGAGTTTCTATTAAATGTAGTTGAAGACTACCATTAGAATAGAGAACACTAGCATAATCAGTATTTAATTTTATACTAATTATGTTACTTAAATATTCTCTGTCTTTAATTAACAGTGGGCCATTACTTTCGGAGGGAAACTGTGTTAAGTCATAAAACCACGCACGATTATTGACACCGGTACACAAATGATATTGACCAAGAGCTATAAATTCAGGCTCAACTGGTAACTCCAAATTATTAAGGACAGGCTTATTACTGTCTTCACTGAATTCATAAATAGTAATTAAACTTATGCTGGATAAAACTGCTATTTTTAAATTACATACATCATTTATTATTGGCAAAGTGGATAAATGTACATGAATAGATCCATCATTGGTACCAATGGCAAGTAGTTGACCATCATCAGACCATGATATTTTTTCAATACAACTTGCTTCTTCAATTGTTAATACACTTGCTGTATCTTGCAAATTATTCATGTCATGAATTTTAACCATATTATCACCACATGAAGCAACTAATTCAAGTTGTTGACAAATGGCTATATCTTTTAAATTATCCCTGTGATTAATTACTTGAAATAATTCTTGACCGACTTCTTTAATATGGGTTGATATTGCAATAAAATAACCTGCAGAAAAGCCCAAGAGAATGTAGCCATCTCCGAACCATTTATATGCAACAACAGATCCATATTTTTGTTGAAAAGCCAATTCTATAGGATTATCAGGATCATCTAGGTTATAAAGAAATAATGTTTTTTTACCTACAAGAATACTAACAGTATTGTCTCTTCCGATTTTATCATCTAACTTCATATCGGAGAACATTATTTGACAAGGTTCAAATCTGAGAGAGATGATACAAAAAGTATCACCCTCGTTATTGTTTAAAGAAACTGTTTTGTCCTCAGATGCTAATGCTAAAATATTATCTTGACTCCAAACTCCGCAGGAAATTTTCTTTGTGTGCTTTCCTAATATTGGAATTTTCTTACAAGTTACATGGTTATATATTGCTAAATTTCCTCTGTTTGTTCCTACAGCAAGTAATGTTGAAGTTTTGGCCCAGGTTAAGCAAGTTAAAGTGTCCCTCAAACCTAAGTCTACGGAGCATTTTTTTTGAGTATTAGCATCCCATAGAATAAGATTCGATGTGGCGGCATTGATGATTCCTAATAAATCACCATCTGCATCCCATGAAAAAGCTGTACATTGACCTGGTAATTTTATTCTTTCCACAGGTAAACCTTTCCTATTGAATAATCCAACTGTACAATCTATTCCTGCAGTTGCCAATAAACTACCACTGGTATTTTGCCAGCAAAATTGGACTTCGCCCTCTCCATGAGGACGTGAAAGCACAAACACATTTTTTTCATTAGCCATACTGTACAATGTAAAGTAAACTATTTTTAAAATTTTGAATGAACGTTGCTACGTTTGTTGTCATAGCAAATGAATCATTAAAAAACCAAAAATATCCAAAAACTTCTTACTTATTATTTTCGAAATGTTTTTAACCATAATGAATTTTTGTACTGATAATTATTTATTTTTAAAAGTAATTATTCTATTAAAAGAAATTTTTTTTCTTGAATTATTCACAGAAATTACATAAAAGGAGATTAAAATAATTAAAATTGTTTTGTTAACAATCAAACGTTACTAAGTATTTCATTGTTTAATACAAAAAGCCAATTAATGTAATAAAAAGATAATTTAGGCATTCACAAGAAAAAACATTGTCAGAATTGTTATTAAAACTATTTTTTCAAAAAAATCATTAGAAAACTTTTTAATGAAACAAAATAATTATTTACTAACTTTTATAAACAAAACAAACAACAGATCCGTTTTCTACTGACACGAAAAAAATTCAATTTTCACTTGTTGAAACTTTGCATGAAAAAAATGTTACTTTACTCAACTTTATGTTAACTTCGATATACAAAATGTTATCAACTTTAAAAAATATTTTTATGACTGTTTTTAATTTTGATAAACAGTCACCAAAAACAGAAGAAAACATTGACAAAATTATTGAAGAGCTTTCTCAAAATAAAAATGACACAGTCGATTGGGAACTTGAAAAAGAATGTCAGGATGAGAATAATTCTTTATGTTTACTCGGTCAAAGTAAACCTGCCGAAATTGATGTTGAAGTTTTTAAATGCTCTACTAAAACCGGAACTGTCACTTACATAGGAAATGATTTTGGATTGCTAGACAATTCAGTTTATTTTGAATTAAATAAAGTTCCAGAAATTATTATACTAAGAGAAGGAGATAAAGTTACTTACCGGTCTTTTAAGTTTAAAGAGAATGAATCCGAAAGAGTTATAGATATTTTGTCTTTAGTGAATGAATACTGGGAAGACAAACCCAATACTGATGAAGTAAATTCAAATTCAAAAGTAGAAGAAAACTTGAACGCGTTGCAAAGAGTAATTAATGGAATAGTTACTGAGAAAAAGGGAAGGAAATTATTAATAGAACCCATTAAATTATGGTGTGACTTAGATAAAATAAATGCAACTTTTGTACCTATTGAAGGTTGAAATTATAATTTTTTAAAATATGCTTTTCAATAAATCTTTAAATATTTATGAATCGATTACTTTTTTTAAAGGAGACTGGGTGTCACTGGAAGCTGTAGTGTCTGTCAACCAAGAAAGTATCGATCTTAGTGGTACAATTTTAAACATTACATCCCTTAAACCTGTACTTACTAATGAAGGATGTGGTAGAATTACATTCTGGTCTGAAAAACTAGGGTGTATAAATAATCAGATTTATTTTACAAAACTACAAAGTAAAGGATTTATTCCAGCTTTAGGAGATGAAGTAAAATATAAAGCCATTGAAAGTGATCAAGGTAATTAAACACAAAATTTCTTTGAAAAACTTTGATTACTTCATTAAATTATTAATCATTTTTTAAATGATAATAATAATAAACTCCTTGCGATTTATTTCACCTTTTTTTGTTCCAGTTTTGTGGTTTAATTTTTACATCATTTTTTAAACTTTCTTAAAATAAAATTTGTGAAAAATAATTAACTTCGACTTTACAACTTTAAGTAAATGAAATAACATAGTTTTTTACTTAAAGCGTTTATAAAACATGTCTTATTTAAGTTTTAAAATTTTCAGGAAACTACAAATGGAGAGCATTAGAAGTTTGGCCTATTGAATTAAAAAGTGATTTTGAAAAAAAAACATTTAATTCTTTAAATAATAATAATAATAAAAAAACATCAAATTACAAAAATAATATAATAATTGAACCGATAATTAGTAAAATAGAAATTCCATACAATGGTTGTAAAGATTTTAAAATGGATATTTGTAACAAAGGAGACACAGTTCAAATATTAAAAAGAATAAAATTTGTTTGCTCTTTAGAAAAATCTCAGCTCAAGTTAAAAAACTTTAAATCGAGTAATGGTATTAAAATAGAACCACATAAAAAACATACAATTACTTTTGAATGTTTTGGAAAGTTTTTAGGTTTAAACGAAGAAGAATGTATTTTCTATTTTGATAATTATGTTGTTAAAAAAGAAGTTTTTATAAATGTTTGTAGCAATGAAGAAATGAATAAAATTCTTAATTGCAAAATTGACACAGTTGTTTTGAAACAATTTAAAAGAAAACATCCAAAAAAAGAAAACATTTCTGGCAAGTGTGCATTATTCGGTCCCACGCCTTGGTCAAAACCAAAATTTATGATCAGTAAAAAAAAAAAAAACTATAAAATTCCTGAAGCCCTATGGAATGCCATAATTGGAGATAATGAATATGAAAAAGAAATACAGGATGCACGACAATGTCTCTTGGAATACGCTCCTTATTTAAAAGAAAATTTAAATGAATCCAATTACGTTCACAGGTATATATTGTTATTTTTTAATAATTTATTATAAGTAATAAGACTAAGTTTTTTTTTTCGATTAAACAAAATGGCAATAAATAATTTTTTAGATTTCATTTACTTCTTTATTTAGAAGAAATAGATTTAAGAAGTCGGTTTACGGTATTTAATCAAAATGGAGTTTTCCTCATTCGAAAAGGTGATTACTTTTCATTAGAAATAAATGGTTTAAGTGAAACGCGGCCTTCTTTAATAATTGGAGACAAAGCCATACTTACTCAGCCATGGTCTTCTGAAAAAATTTGCCAAGTAGGATATGTTTATGAAATTCATAAACATCAAGTTCTACTCAAATTTCACGAATCATTTCATCAACTTTACGATGAAAGTGAATGTGATATAACTTTTGAACCTGGAGTTAGTAACATGAAAAGATGTCATGATGCCATCGACAGAGCTATTGATAACTTAGGTTTTAAATGGGTATTTCCATCTTCTGTAAGTGAAAAACAACCACAAGTTGAATTCAAGGTTCAAAATGAATCCGTTGATCCGAGAGATACTTCAAATACTAATTTAAATCAATTTCAAAAAGACATTGATTCAAACGGTTACGTTATTTCTTCTTGTAAACCTGAATTGATGTGGCATTCTAAAAACTTAAATGAAAGACAAAAAATGGCTGTAATAAATGTTTTAAAGGGTCAGGGCAGACCTTTACCGTACATCGTATTCGGACCTCCGGGTACAGGGAAAACAAGCACTTTGATTGAATTAATCATACAAATTTATACATTAATACCCGGAAGCAGGTTGCTCGTGTGTGCCCCATTAAACAGTGCTGCAGATTTGATATGCGAACGTCTCATTGAAATAGGAAAATTTAAACCAGGTCAGCTTGTTCGGTTAATCGCATTTCAAAGGTTTCTTCAAGACAAAGTTCCTCCAAAATTAGTGCCTTACAGTACACTCGGTAAGAAGAGTTTTTGTCATTTTCATTCACTTATCCTTTTTTTCTAAGCCATTAATTCAATTAATTTCTCTTTGAAGTCTCCTTAGAAGATGATACTGGGAAAAATAACGAATCTTTAAAATTTAAAAAAAATATACGAATATCATCGGCTAGTCAACTCATAGGAAGACATAGAATCACCGTGGGAACCTGTTCCAGTGTTGGTTACCTTCATTATTTGGCTTTTCCATTAGAACATTTTACTCATATTCTAGTAGATGAAGCTGGACAAGCAACCGAACCAGAAATTTTGATTCCAGCTAGTATGCAAATTTTAATTTTTTTTTTTTTTCGTTATTTAAAAATAAATAAATTATTGAGAAAAAAAATTTTTCGATAAGGTTTCCAAAGTTTTACAAATAGTAGGGTCGTACTTTTTGGTGATCCTCAACAACTGGGTCCTGTGTGTTTTGGAAAATTTGCTGTTGAGTATGGATTAAATGTTAGTCTAATGCAACGCCTTCTTAACACGTTTCCATATTGCAGGGATATTGATTCTTTTCCAGGCACTCTAGGCTTTGACCCAAGATTTATCACGAAACTCAATGTTAATTACAGGTATTTTTTTTTGTAATGATTTAAATAGTAAATTTTTAACAAATTATATATATATGTGTGTGTGTGTGTGTGTGTAAATTTTTAGATCCGTACCTGAAATCTTAGATTTACCTAGTCAGTTGTTTTACAATTCTGAATTGATTCCGACGATTTCTCAAGAAAAAGGCCCCGAAGCAGATATAATAAAAAAATGCAACATCGTTAACGAAAATAAAAATAAGGGTTGCGCTTTAGTTTTTCACAGTGTACTGGGACAAAATTATCAAGAATCAGATTCGCCATCGTGGTTTAATCCGCACGAAGTTTGGCAGACGGCAACGTACCTGAAAAAATTTTACGATGCGGGTTTAACGAGTGACGACATCGGAATAATCACTCCGTATTCGAAACAGGTGATAATTTAGAATCAAACAAACTTTGAAACATTTTCGAAAATATCTCTTGTATAAATTATAATTTGAGTTTTTTTTCCCCCTCCCCCCCCCTTGAAACATTTCAGATAAAGAAAATTCGTTTTCTTTTGGAAGCATTGAATCTTTCGCCGCCGAAAATAGGTACGGTAGAAGAATTTCAAGGACAAGAAAGATTAGTAATCATCGTATCCGTTGTAAGGAGTTCCTTATTACACACTCCGAATAACATAGCAAAGTCTTTGGGATTCACGGCTTGTCCCAGACGCATAAACGTCGCACTAACGAGAGCTCGAGCCGTTCTCGTCATTTTAGGAAATCCGATTACCTTATCCAAATATCCCTATTGGAGAACCGTCGTAAAATACTGTGGCAAAAACAATTGCATCACGGGTTGTAACATACCACTTTTTTATAAAAATGACGAATTGGAAGAAAACGAAAAAGAAGGCAAAACAGTAAAAGAAGAAGAAGAAGGAATTAACGAGGCGAGTTAAAACTTCCCCCCCCCCTTAAAAAAAAAAAAAAAAAAAAAATTTATCGCAAGATAATTATTATTAGTATTATTTCACAAAAAAAAGTACAAATGAATAATAATTACAAAATAAAATGCACGAATAAAAATCACGTGACCGTTTATTTAAATATTTTCGGAAAAAAATTTTGGCGGGAGGAGAGGGAAGGGGGGAAGAAGAAATCGACAAAAAAATTGAAAATGAAAAAAAACAAACCGGAAGTTATAAATAAATTTTTTTAAAATAATAACAATAATAATAAGGGATCAATCGATAAAATGGGGGGGGGAGGGGTAAAATAAATGAGAAATTTCATAACCTCCCTTAAAATTATTTTATTTTCATCCCTCGAGTAAAAGTCGTGGAGGAAATGAAATTTAAATAATGAATCGAAGAATAATAACTTTTACCAGATGTTTTCTTTGTTTATATATATATTAAAAAAAAAAAAAAGGTGGGGGGAGGGGGCAGTAAATGTTTAAAATATTTTCTTATGAGTTCTTTTAGTTGGTTAATTTTAAATATCATTTCCTTTTATATTTATATTTATATATAAATTTGAAATTAATTAATTTCGAACGTTGAAATCTATCCAAAAAATTTTTAAATTAAAAATGAAAAAAAAAGTTATTAACAAACAAAAATGTATTATTCATTCATAAAAAAATTTAGAGAAATCTTGGCAGGATAAAAAAAAATAAAATTTTATCATTATTATTATTATTATTATTATTTTTAGGTAGTAGTAATAATAATAATAATAATAATTTTATAAAAACAAAAAAATATTATTTTTGCTACGTGCGGTTAAAAGATACGTAAATCGTTTTATTGATTTATTCGAAGGGTTGCTGTTGTTGTAAAAAAAACAAAAAATTGGGGGGGAGGGGAGTCGTAGAATTTTTATCTTTTTCGTCTTATCATTTGCATTCTATTAAAATATAAAAGAAAGGGGAAATTTTTATCGATTTTTTTTTTTTTTTTTACATCTTTGACGGAGCCCTAAAAAAAAGTTTTTTTTTCCCCCCCTTTTTTTTTTTTATTAAAATGATAATAATAACAATGATAATAATAATGATGATGGAAACTTTAGTTTTTTTTTTTTTTTTTGGAAATTTTTTATATAAAACTTTTACTTTGGTTTAATTCTTTTTGTGTTTGTATAAAAAACAAACAAACAGAGAAAAAAATTTATTCTCCGTTTAAATTATTATTATTATTATTATTATTATGGTCACTCTTAAACACGACAAAGCTCTTATTTGTCGGGGTTATTATTATTATTATTATTATTATTATTATTATTATGTAATTAATAATTTTTTTTTTTTATATTAAATTTTGTTTTTTCGTTAGTAAGAGAAACATAAAAATTTTTATCAAAAACATAAAAATAAATAAATAAACATTTGAAAAACATTTTTTTTTTTTTTTTACAACGACAACAACATTATTCGAAGCAACATTTTTTTGGTTTTGTTTGTTTATTTATTTAAATTTTTTTAAAAAGTTTTTTTTAATAAATTTTTATTTAAATTTTGCAACCGTAAAAAAAAGGAAAAATTTATTTTAAATACGGTTAAAGATGAAAAAAGTCGTCGTCCTTCTTTTTCAAATAAAAAAAAAAAAAAAATGGACGATCTCATCTCATGAGATTAAGAAATCATTTATTTATTTATTTATTTATCCAGCAGTTAAATATAAAAACTGGAGAAATATTACTGTTAGCTTTCGGTTGTTATTGTGGTTGTTGTTGTTGTTGTTGTTTTATTATAAATTTATTACAAATTTAAGCAACCCAAAAAAAAAAAAAAACCATAACCGAAAAATTCAATTTCTCATTAATTGATTTATTTATTTATTTATTTTTTAATGACTTTTTTATGTTTTTATAAAAATTAATTATTATTATTATCATTATTATTATTATTATCATTTGGGTAAAAATTTTTGTTTATACCCTCTAAATAATGTTTTTTTTTTATAATTTTTCTTATGCGAAAAGTGTTTAAGGTGAAAACAAAAAGAAAAATTCATACCTTAACATTTCTAAATTATTTA